GTATCTGCCATCAACCATACAGTATTCTTCTTCTGCAATGTACTTTTCTGTTTTCTACAATTACATGAAATATATACTATATTGCTGCTGCATAGGATATAAGGCGATCTTTTTTTTTGTTCTTTTCTTGTACGGTTGATCTCAAATAAATAAATCATTGACGAAAAAAAAAAGTACCAGCCTTGATGAACTCCATTTTCCAAGATGTTGTTATTTTTTTCTTTGCTATAAAATATCAATAAATGCTTTTTCTTGAGCCACTTTCTGGGAAGAAATTATCAAAAAATTAAACAAAAAGAGAAAAAAGATTGCGAAGTCTAAATTAAATAACATAGAATCGACAGAAACATCCTCCAGATGTTTGACAAACTGAAAAAAAAGAAAAAAGAAGTGGCCGAAACGTATTTCAAAAAACGTAGCAATTACGAATATGTTAAGTACAAATAATGTATGCCTCGTACAGTTAACAAGAGATGCGAGTACAGTATTATGAAACATTCTGAGCACTTTGATATACAGTTACTAATCATGCTATTATAACGAGTGAAGGTGAGTTTTGACCAATGTGTTAGATATAAATACAAATATATGGTATCTTATTACTTCAAGTTTTAGTTGTATAAAAACTGATAAGAGGAAGAAGAACAGTAAAAAGTTCGTATTTCCTGACGGACTAAACGAAACAATTCAGACTTGGTATTAATTGCTCGTGTTTTATGTGTTCTTTTTTACCACCAATAATATTTGCTTTTCTAAGTGTAATTGTAGAACTGATTACTCGTCGAATCAATATGTTATATATATATATGTGTGTGTGTGTGTGTTCAGCGGACAGAATAACATGTTTTCTTTGAGAAGTTTCCAGAAGAGAAAAAAAAATGATTCAAGGCCTAAACCTGCTAAAACTAGATATTTTCCGTGGTCACTCATCCTCAGATTAATATATGGAGAAATATAAACCACAGTATTTTTTCTTACGTGATTATTTGTTTGTTGTTAAGTGCAGAGCTACATAATGGGCAATACGTGTTCTGCTCACTAAAAGTATCAAAACCAATTTTTAGTGTTAGGAGACCTCAGGCTTACCGCCGGGCCACCAGGGGGATTTTCTCACGTGACTAATCCTGGGGTGGATTAGCAGACCTCTGCTACATCACAATGCAATTGTAAAATAATCAGTGGACGTTTAAGAATTGTTTATCGAATACAAAGTTTAATGAAATCGTTGGCCACAAGTCTCTTCTTGTTAACATTAGACTGTTCGCTAATCTGATTTTAAAAAAGCCCAATCTATTTATGAATTCATTTTCCTTAGGCAACTAAACAACATATGTAAAACACCAGAACTGAAGACAACGAAAATAATCCACAGGAATTGGCGTACTAATGGATAGTTTATTGCTTCACCTCAGAATCCTTGCTGGACAGTAAGATATTAAAGAAGTGAAAAAAAGAACAATGGAAGCACCACTCTCATAAATCTCAGTTTTTATATAACAACATATGGTGTGAACTAAATAAAAAACGAGAATTATTACTTAATAAAACAGACCATCGTTAAGTCAGTTCAAAATAATCGATATACCTATAACTTGACTCCGTGTCGTCTTGCATAATATTATAAAAACGGAAAAAGTAAACGTAATTTTCATACAGCGAAACTGTCTTAACTCAGATTGGACATAAGATTTAGTTAGAGCCGATGATGGCACTGGTTACGTAAAGAAACGTTGGGAGAAAAGTATATATTTTACTTTAGAAAAGTACCAGTTTCTTTATTACGCAGGATTTTAAAAGAAGTTTCTGTTTGGATGGATAAAGTACACTCGAATGCTGAATTGATAGTTGAAATGTTGCTTAATTTCAAGTCCTATTGACTACCAAATGTTATGTGTTTCTTAAGAAAGAAGAATCCTACAATATCGACATTATTTCTAAGATCATTCTATTTTATCCATTACACGTTTTTAGAGGCTGAAAGCTATTTGCATAATATTAAAAAAAAGGCTTCATTGATTTACACTGTATATCAATAAACCGCGGCGACACTTCCGTAAAGTCAAAATACTTAAAAACGAATATTTTCAAAGAAAAATACCAATAGCTAAACATGTACCTTAGAAATATGTAATAACAAAGAAATTTTACCTATTTCTAGAGAGTAAAAAGGATAATTTTGAAACATTAGTACTTTACCTATTTTCACGAACGTTTAATAAACCTTTTCATCGAGTCTTGGTAAATAATTAATAAAATACTCCGTAACCAATAAACTAATTAAATATAACATATCTTACGATCAGAACATTACTGATATAATAAAACAGCGTATTTTCGACTTTTTTACACGGAAAAGGTTCTTACAGAAGAGGAAAACGTTTAATAACTGGGAAGCTTCACGCATCCTCCTATTACCTGCTTGAAGGTTCCGATTCTGAAAGGTTTACTGACATCAAGTTTAATATTTACTATTTATAGACTGCAAGTTGGTGTGTTTCGAAACCTTATTAGGTTCGAAATCAAATATCAATCATTCTGAGCAAGATTAGGAACCGATTAGTTTTTTTACTTAAACTTGTTTTAGAAATATTTTAGAAGGTAAATTAGACAGGATTGACACAACACATTTAGTTCAAGTGGTTTAGAGACAATTAAAAAGTTCAGTGCATGTCAGCTCTGTCTATTATTTTATCAAATGATGCTACAGTTTCGATCAAAGTTCATTACGTTTTATTCTAAAAGACAGATGTCACAAAATCAAGTGTATTTTTTTTCCTTTTCATATCCAATTATCTTTGGTTAATTGGTGAATGAAAGGAAACTCCTATTCTCTAATGAGGAAGCAGTGCTCATTTTTTAAATCCTAAGTGAATTTCACCTCAGGCGTTTGTTTCCGGTTTTAACTTAAGGAATACACAGATTGTCCTATTTTTACAAGTAGCATCATTCTAACAATTATCATATATAAGTTCAAATGAAGTTTTAATGAATGGTAAATGAGGAAAATCAAGAAATTACTAACAACACTGGAGTTTAGAAGCAAATGCATAATCAGGAAATAACAAGTGATGTGTTTGTAGTATAAGTGGGAGATAGCGTACTTTTCAGAACACCCTAAATATATTTTTACAAAAGCAGCGGTGATTTATTAGTTTCAAAAATAAAGTTATCTTAAAGTTTCTTTATTTCTTCATTCTATTTCATGTTTCTTTGGTTAACCTGCATGGATTGAAGGGAGGGGTAGCTCAAGTGATCAACATTATGGGACACCGTGATTTATCAAGTGTAACCTTTATTATTATTTTTTACGGTTTCAATACTTCGGTGAACTAGCTTTTTGGTCAAATACTAAATTTAGGAATTAGTATTGTTTGACACATTAAAAGGGGATTTTAGTGAAACGCAGCCGAATGGCGCTGGCTAAACATTCTAAGTGAAAATAATCTGGAGTTACCTCAATTTTGAATAGACAACTCAATAGTTATACATGAAAATTAGCAAATTTATTGTTGGAAAAGAAAAAAGAGCTCACCGAAATTGAAACAAACATTGTTTGAAAATATTTTTGAAGCACTGGCGGGGTCAGTGTTTGCTTCTCTAAGCTTGGTGAGAAATCACTTTTGGTAATGTCTTTTGAAACAACGTCACAGTCTATCTCTGTTTCCATAAGACTAGTAAAAACGATAGCTTTTTGAAAGAGTATCAGAGTTAGTTCCAGGAACTTTATTTATCACACATCTGGTCTGATGACCATCTTTAATTCATGATAACGAATAATTCTTATAGAACAAAATCAGTTTTGATTTTGAAACGTGAGAGGACAAGAATTATTACGCTTATTAACAGCAAGGCAATCAGTCCTGTGTAACTGTATTCCCAATAATACGATAAGAATTGCCGGGTCAAGATATTTTTTGTTACTTGAACAGAGCTGACAAGCACCAGTTATTTAAATAATGAGGTTAACCTGGTTGAATCCCTGGTGGTGGTTGACTGAAGAGAGGACCTCTTCTTGGATGAAGTAAGAATTGGACTGCAATTTGCTGGAGTTCCTGTGGTCTGTTTCCTAGCAACGACACAAAGGCTTGGGAACCACCGAGTCGAAAATGAATGTTATATATGCATAATTATACCCATGAGAATCATTATGGTACGAGTTGAAGACATTACAGTAAACCATATGCTGATTGTTACAGTAATCGAACACTCCCTGTAATAATGTCTAACATTTATGACGTATTAATTAATATAAAACGTATTTAAATATATATATATATACATTTATCACTTTTTAAACAGTTCAAGGATTTATTCTCAAACAAGTAACAAAATCATTTCTACAAAGTGAATAAAAATAGTTTAAGGTTTAACTTCCTAATAATTATGTAATATATATATATCGTTACAATATAATATTGTTAGATTTACTGCTAATTAAGAGCAATTTTAAAGTATTTACACTTTGCTAAAGAAAATATAACTACATTTCATTTGATAAACACCAAGTCAACCATAGGGTTGCTAAATGTTTAAGTTCGCACAACGAACACAATCGATGACTTAGCAATTAAAAACGTTCAGCTTAATGTGCGATTGGTTTGGTTTGTTTTGAATTTCGCGCGAAGCTACACGAGGGCTATCTGCGCTATCCATCCCTAATTTAGCAGTGAAAGACTAGAGGGAAGACAGTTAGTCATCACTACCCACCGCCAACTCTTGGGCTACTCTTTTAACAACGAATAGTGGGATTGAGTGTATCATTATAACGCTGCCACGACTGAAAGGGCGAGCATGTTTGGTGGAACGCGTATTCGAACCCGTGAAATAATAATAAATAATAATACTGAAACCCTAATTTAGATCGCCTACATTTTCAACTTTCGCATTTGTTAGAAATGACGCACGTATAAACTTGCGATGTGTGTTATAGATATCCTATAGATGTTGAGACCGTTATATTAAAACAATTTTGGAGTCTCGCTACATCATAAGAGTCCATATTTCAACGTCCGGTCATACTCTTTCTGAAGATCGTGCATCTTGACAATAACCATGCAGCGTAGTTTTCACTGAAAAAGACTCTGGTGTAGAGCTGTTATGTCCAATAATTCCATAATCAAACTAATGTATGAGGGCGACGGTTTCTCAGCGCCCGTTTCAACAGTCTAATCGCACAGAAATCCATACACATTGAGTCCGGTGACTTGACCGGAATGTCTTTGTATGAAATAGCACGTATACCGTTTCATTCTCCAGCTGTTTGAGGTATGCGACGGCTGAACAGATATCTCGAGGAAGTAATTTGTAGACACATGACTTGCGTTGCTTTTCCATACGGAGATCCTTATTGATTATGTTGCATACTGTTACCTGGGACCCGCGGACTACTTTGTTTTCCAATGCCATTAATTACCAAAGACAGCCACGTCTGTTACATACGCTTTCCAAAAGCGATCAATATTAGGTGGCGTCGCACTTCCGACGATATTTTGAGCAATGTCACAATGTAGTTTTGATACTTACCATCCCACCGCGACTTCATATTCGCTGTAGTTGTTACGTCACTTGTTGATCTGCTTATGCAACACCGCTTTAATATAACATACTCAACCGACGGTCGAATCGGCAAAACAAAACTAAAACTATATACTAGGCAAAGGAAAAAACACGACTTATTTGATTTTTGAAATATCAACTTAGAGAACAAAAATGTTTCTGACATTTCTTATAATCAGGCAAATTGAAGGTTTTTCGGTGCTGTCATTTTAAATAGATAAAAACAAAAAACCACTTTTCTATAAAGACTACTAAGTTATATTTTTAATGTTTATATACCATATATTTTGTTATTAAAAAGAGGAAGTTTGATGGTTTGTAATTAAGCACAAAGCTACACAATGGGCTATCTGTGCTCTGCCCACCACGGGTATCGAAACCAGGATTCTAGCGTTGTAAGTCCGCAGACATACCGCAGTGCCACTGGGGGGCAAAAAGGGGAAGAAAATGAATGCCAGATGAGTGTTTCAGTAATACACTATTGATTGTTCTGGTGTAGGAGTATTATACTTTTTGACTCTTACATCAAAGGGAAGAACGGAAATCCAGGAGTTAAATCATATCATCGTTAAAGTTGTTTTAAAAAGTAAGAAAATTATTAACTTAGGTACAAAAAGAGAGCAAGTTGTAGCGGATATGTAACAAATAATATCTTTGCTAGTTTTAAACATTATTTGCTAATTAGCTGTTCCTTCTTAAAGTATGACACTTCGAGTATTGTCATAAAAGAATTCGAGCAATATCACAGCTGCCGTAAGGGGGCGCATTTGACTATGATAAATTAAAATAAGAACAAAACAGAGAACGATACAAAACATTTTGTGAAAGCACATCTTATCAAAACGTTAGCAACGTTTCTATGAATTGAAAGACTGAAAAATTCCTCCAACAAAATAAATCCAAACCGACGGCTGCCAATATCTAAATATAACTTGTAACTTACCTGGTTTCACCCATCGAAACAGTTTCGAGCACACAAGCAGCGTACTGTAACGTCTTCTGTAAAACACTTATAGGCACGTCGCCATGTTGAAGGTGTTGTGCAATTTCTCGGAGTCTGAAAACATTCAAAATTCACACAGATGCTCACACAGTATCACTTATAAAAGTTGTAATGTTTTCAAACGGGACCCAAAACTCGAGCGCTTTCGAATAGTTGATTCTTCTTTTCCAGAAGAATAAAGGAGAAGAAGAAGAATAGTCAACTATTCGAAAGCGCTCATATTAATCTATTTAGGGTTCATTTACACTAATTAACAATAATATCAAGATGCTTAGGCGAAGTACTGATTGATTGTTGATTGTATGTTTCAGAGGAAAGCCAAATCTGCTGTGTTCACCCACTGTGAGAAATCGAACCCCAGATTTTTGCGTTGTATGTCCATAAATGTACCGCTGTCCCACCAGGGGACTAGGTGCAGTAAGTTAAAAGGATGAAGTTGTGAGTAATTTGTGTTAGGTTTGAGTTTTTTCTAGTAATTTGTGTTAGGTTTGAGTTTTCTGAGTAATTTGTGTTAGGTTTGAGTTTTTTTTAGTAATTTGTGTTAGGTTTGAGTTTTCTGAGCAATTTGTGTTAGGTTTGAGCTTTCTGACTAATTTTTGTTAGGTTTGAGTTTTCTGAGTAATTTACGTTAGGTTTGAGTTTTCTGAGTAATTTATGTTAGGTTTGAGTTTTCTTAGTAATTTATGTTAGGTTTGAGTTTTCTTAGTAATTTATGTTAGGTTTGAGTTTTCTTAGTAATTTGTGTTAGGTTTGAGTTTTCTGAGTAATTTGTGTTAGGTTTGAGTTTTCTAAGTAATTTGTGTTAGATTTGAGTTTTCTTAGTAATTTATGTTAGGTTTGAGTTTTCTGTTTGCCTCGCTTTAAATATGCGTATTATTTTCGAAGTCAAATTTATAGATGTTTATCTATTACAAATGTGAATTTTTCTGCATACTCATAACCAGCCATGGATGGTAAATTGTTTGTCGGTTTGTGACGCTGTCAGTTTAAGCCTTATCCCCCATTATTATTATTATTCAGTAGTCTATATTACTAGATGTCACCCAAACCCTTTGGATGTTTTTATCAAACTTAATTCTCCCAAGTCCCCCGATGGGACAGTGGTAAGTGTACGGACTTAAAACGCTAAAATTTGGGGTTTAATTCTTCCTGGTGCACACAGCAGATAGCCTAATGTGACTTTGTTGAACAAAAGAATCTCCCAAGGTTATATCTTCTGGAGCTACTCTGCAAGTGACCGTGTAGGTTCTAAATTTATAAATTATTTTCAACGCCGGTTTGTGGTGGCAGTGAAATTATACCCTCTTGTAGATACTGCTTCATTTGTTTGTAGTTAAGCATAATGTTACACAATGGGCTATCTGCGCTCTGCCAACCACGGTATCGAAACTCGGTTATTTAGTGTTATAAGTCGGCAGACATACCGCTAGGCTACTGGAGAGCGTAGATACTGCTGGTACGTTTATCGTTTGCTTTTTAATTGTTATATATATGGGAGTGTGGGTGTGATATAGAGATATCATTTCTCGGGTGGTTTTAAAATTCCACAGAAGAATTAATACAGAATGTAATGTGAGACGTAAAATCGCATTCTAATTTAACCAAAAACCTGGGTACAAAATTTGGGGCATTCAGCAAATAATGAATAAGAAGAATGTAATCTAAGAATAAAAGGTGTTAATTAGCTGAAAGCCCCCCCCCAAAAAAAACACCCATTACAAGAATAAAAAAGTACCGGATGCTAATAAAAAAGTTAAATTAAAAATTGTATTACCTAGAGGCAGCCTTGTCGCACGCTCCAGTGGTCTCTGCACGAGTTAAACTTTCTAATTTGGAATCAGTGCGCTCCATTGCCTCATCTTTCTCTTGAGCAACTCCACGCATTAATGCACCTCCACGCGGGTGCATTCGTCGAACAACAACAGTCCCACCTAGTGAATAAATATATAAATTAATATGCAAAATGGACCACACTTACAATATTCTTATTTTTGCCTTTGTCTGAAACATTACTGGGGTGGCATTTGTCAATGTACTCTTGGAATGGGGTCTGTATTTTGCCTATCCTGATTCACACATATCATTAAATATTACTTGTTTTACTTTTGCTCCTCTCCCGGTGGGTCGGCAGTAAGCTTACTAACTTTCAATACTAAAGTCCATATACAGCTCATTATGTAATTTTGTGCTAAAACACACACACACAAATACTTTTGCTCCTCTCCCGGTGGGTCGGCAGTAAGCTTACTAACTTTCAATACTAAAGTCCATATACAGCTCATTATGTAATTTTGTGCTAAAACTCACACACACAAATACTTTTGCTTCTCTGAAACAAATACTCCAATGCTGTAGCCATATAAGTCTTAACTTGGTTTTATTATTTAGAATGTAAACAAAATATATCAGCTATTACATTATCATAGAGGTCAAGTAATTTATATTAAAACAACTCTGGAGCCTTATTACATCGTTACAGTCCACGTCGCCACGTCCAGTAGTATTCTATCTTCACAATATCCCTGCAGTGTGGTACTCATTGAAATAGGATCCGTCGTGAGGCTGTCATGTCCCACACATAAACTGCTTCACATAATTCATTTAATGTAGGAGGATGACAGTTTCCTAGATACTGTTTCAACGGTTCGATCACACAAAAATCCACGTGCGCTGTGTCCGGCGATTTGGCTGGTATATTTTCGTAAGGAATAGCAGGAACACCGATTTCATTCTTCAGCTGCCTGAGGAATGCGATGGTTGAATGGAAGTTATCAGGAAGCTTTATCTTGGTGAACCCATTCCATGTTACCCTCGTTTCAAGACAGAAATCCTTCACAACTATGTTGTGTGCTGCTGCCTCATCTTTGTGTTCGTGAAATTTCACCGGTTACAAGATGACGCATTTAGCTTCCCAAATCTGGAAGTTGACTTTTTGAAGTCTCTTTCTAGATGGTCCCGGTGTTCCAAGTTGACTCATATACTTTGTTTTCCAGTGCTATTAAGTACAAGGGATATTCCGTCTTGGAAAATCTATAAAGCCCTGATCTGAACACATCATTATGAATTGCATGTATGAATATTTTGCATCAGAAAGGGCTATTACATACGTTTTCCAAAAGCGATCAATTTTAGATAACATCAGAATACATACTTACAGCCAAATATGTAGTTCTGATACATCCGTTGCACGTGACTTTGTATCGGCTGTTGTTGTTAATAACATACGTAGTGGGATTTTAACGACATCAATTTTTTTTCTATTTTATGTGAGTTTTTAATTTTGCAGTATTTACAGGACAAACACATCCACTGATAATAGTTTTAGCATTTTCAATGAGTATAGCTAAATCATAAAGAAAGGTTTGTTGTGCTTTTTGTAGTTTCGTTTTCGTTTATTGGAGAGGTGGATTGGTTTAGCTCACTCTGCATGTATTAGTAAACATTTCTTATTTTCTTAACTTTATGAATGCTAGTTAATGTCGAAGAATGCAAGTACACTGTAAAACCACTCATTTTTGGATATTTTTCTTCAGCTAGACAGTAAACCCTCAACAAAATGTAGGTATATCTAGGTCTTTGTCTAGTTTAATTCGCGACGTAGTTATGCAGCATAATTACTTTGGTAGTCATGCAATACTTACTCTGGTAGTCATGCAGTATACTTACTCTGGTAGGCATGCAGTATGCTTACTCTGGGAGTTTAAAGTATACTTACTCTAGTAGTCATGGTGCATACTTATTCTGGTGATCATGCTGCATACTTACTCTAATATTCATACAGTATACTTACTCTGGTAGTCATGCTACATACTTACTCTGGTAGTCATGTAGCATACTTACTCTGGTAGTCATGCAAGTAGACTACTTGGTAGTCATGCAATACTTACTCTGGTAGTCATGCAGTATACTTACTCTGGTAGGCATGCAGTATACTTACTCTGGTAGTCATGCAGCATGCTTACTCTGGGAGTTTGAAGTATACTTACTCTAGTAGTCATGGTGCATACTTATTCTGGTAATCATGCTGCATACTTACTCTGATATTCATACAGTATACTTACTCTGGTAGTCATGCATGCTGCATAACTACCAGAGTAAGTATACTGCATGCCTACCAGAGTAAGTATACTGCATGACTACCAAAGTAATTATACTTCATGACTACCGGAGTAAGTATGCTAAATAACTACCAGAGTAAGTATGTAGCTTACTCTGGTAGTTATGCAGCATGCTTACTCTGGGAGTTATGCAGCATGCTTACTCTGGGAGTTTGAAGTATACTTACTCTGGTAGTCATGCTCTATACTTACTCTGGTAGTCATGGTGCATACTTACCCTGGTAGTCATGCTACATACTTACTCTGGTAGTCATGCTGTATACTTACTCTGGTAGTCATGCTGTATACTTACTCTAGTAGTCATGCAGTATACTTACTCTGGTAGTCATGAAGTATACTTACTCTGGTAGTCATGCAGCATGCTTACTCTGGGAGTTATGCAGTAAACTTACTCTAGTAGTCACGCTACATACTTACTCTGGTAGTCATGTAGCAAACTTACTCCGGTAGACATATAATACTTACTCTGGTAGATGTGCAGCATACTTACTCTGGTAGTCATGTAGCATACTTACTCTGGTAGACATGTAATATTTATTCTGTTAATTATGCAGCATACTTACTCTGCTCAGAGAACTACACTGGATGCAACAGTTTTGTGCCCTTTGGTGCATGAATAGCAGAAGTTTTTATTTTCCCCTTTTATATCAATAACAGTATATGAATCCAAAATAAAGGGTAAACCAATAATAACCGAGAAAAGAAAATGGTTGTGCTTCTATAAAAACCGAACTTTGTTGATCTTATTATTAATTATTGTTGATTTACCCTTCACGTTATTATTAATTATTTTTGACATACCCTTTATTTTGCTATTGATTATTGTTGATTTACCTTTTATTTTGTTTGTCATTTAATTGTTGGTTTATCCTTTATTTTGATATTAATTATTTTTAGTTTATTTTTTATTGTTTTTTTAGTTATTTTTGTTTCATTCTTTATTTATTTTATTACTTATAGTTGATTTATAGTTATAGTTAGGTTACAGTTTGGTAGTTATTAGTCCCAACCTGAACGGAACTTTGTACTATACAGGTTAATTTTCAGGTCAAAGACCACAATGTTCAGGCACAGCCTTATTTAGAACTGCTGACCAGAGGGGGTGGGGCAACAAAGCTACTTTTATTCAAATAATGAGATTCCTAGTCACTCCTTTATCCTTTCAACCACTAGCTGGGAGTGTAAAGGTGTTCATACCTCTTTTTAAAGCTTTGCGCAATGATTCTGAAACAAAAAACAGTGATTTTTCCAGCTTCCGTCACCTATTACTTTTGTTTTTACAGAAGTCTATACAGCCAATTGTTAATTTGTGTAAAACAACAAAATTTTACAGAACCCCACAAACTTCCAGCATTAAACTTCAGAGCTGTCAAAAACAATGGTTCAGTATTTTTCTGAAAAATATCCTTAAACAAGTTATGTTTTTAACCACAAAAAACAAAACATTTTGTCAGCGACATCTGTGATTTAACAAAATATTAACATAAGAAATATTTTAAAATTCAGCGTAGAAAAGGCTATATCACCACAACTTTCAACACAACCTAAAAAGGCTTCCTGATATAATCTACGATTTTTGTTTATCAAACGTCGTACTTTGCGTTGAAACTGGATCCTGTTCCTTGTCGACGTTTTCTTCATCAGCTTCTTGATCTTCAGGTGGATTCGCCACTGTAAGATACATTTTTGTGTTTAGAAATTTTTTGAGTGAGATTGATAGTAAATAGTAACATTCAAACCCTTTTTATCACGTGTAATATTAATCTTGGAAGCGATAAAAAATACAGGACAGTAATTTATAACAAAGCATGCTAGACACTTAATAATAATGATAACACCATTGTATTCAGGTTAAGCCTACATTTTAGAGGCGATCAAAGTATACAGGACAGTACGTTATAAAAAAGGATGGTGGACACTAAATAATCACGTTAACACCATTGTATTCAGGTTAAACCTACATCTTAGAGTCGATCACAGTATACAAGACAGTTACTTACAACAAAGTATGGTGGACACTTAATAATAACGTTATCACCATTGTATTCAGAACAAGCCTAAATTATAGAGGCCATGAAAAGTTACTGGATAGTTTACGATGACGATAAAACCATTTTATCCAAATGAATCCTAATAAGCTGATTATGTACACCTAGCGGTTCGCTTTGTCAGGTCTAGTTAGGAACCATATTAATATATTTCCGAAACATCTTTAACCTCTAGAAGTTCATCAACTGATAATGATATTGAGATGCTATACAGGTTTAAAATAGTTGGTGGATGTGCTACTTCTATCAAAAAAAGCAGACAATCCTTAAAGCCTAGATGATCAACACAAACCTTTAATATATAGTGTAATGGAGAGAAATGGGAAGCTTTTTTATTACAATTTTGTAAACTCCAAAGCGATTGTAATACAATTACAATATATGTTTCTTAATTTGAAAGTGAAAATCTTAAACCAACCTTATGAATTATACAAGATCAGCGATTCCTGTGAGATAGGGAATTCTGTTTTTATTTGGTAATAGTTTTGTTTATCGTTTAGTTTATCTATGAATGTTTAGTCACATTTAAAACGATAACTCACCTTCTAGATATACACGCTTATTTTGAGTAAATATGTATGTGTTATGAGACTGATATCAGTTTCCCGTAGATATAATTGATGTTGCACAAGAGTATGTAAATTATGTACAGATATTTTGCACAGTATTATGCAAATTACGCTCATATGAATTTGTTATCTCGTGATCTAACAAGTGAATAAAAACCATAGATTGAGATGTAACAAGTTAGTACACGAGACATAGCTGAACAGTATTATTGCTGATTATTAATCAAATATTGTTAGTGATTTTGTAGTTTAAATATGGAATATTGCTATTTTGGAATTATGTTTTTGTTCTTTTTTCCTTATTCCTTTATTAATTTATTGAAATACTTATTAAGCTGGATTTATATTTTGTATTGTTCATTAACGTCAGTTTCAAGTCCTGGCCAGGCACATATTTCTTTACTGTGTTTTTTGGTAAATTATCAACATTGTATTTCAATAGTTTGAAAGTCTAACTTTTGGATTTCTGTGGTTGTCAAAGTATAATAAATTTGTTTTTTTTGGTTCAACCATGGTTGTAGCAGCGAGTTACATTAGACCGTTACACCACGCTACAATATTTTTCATACAATTTCTTATATCTTTATGATTTTTCATATTCAATTAACTACATCTAACTATCTATTTATGAAGCTGCTTTCAGAAACATGAAATTATGATTAATATTACATAGCTAATATAGCCAGTTAGGTCTTCTCTTAAATGCTTTCAAATATCTCCCTTTTCACGATCTAAAAGGTTCTCATTCCAACGTCTCTTTTTTTTTTCTTTTCGATAAAAGACCCAACAGTAGCACTCACTATTGCCAATAAAACGGAATCAGCTGTTCAATATCAAATATATTATGTTTGTAAGTAACCACTTAGAGTTTTATAATATCTCACCGACTTCCAAAAACCTTCCTATTTTTAGCTTAGATACAATTACCGATCATTTGCTTTCATGCTTTACTAAGCAGTATTAGTGCTGTAACTTCTTTTGAAAAACGCTTTTAAACTCATCTGGAAACTCAGATGTTAAAAGCTGCTTTATATTTTTGTTCACTTATCGCTGTTAGTTTTGCCATAAGCTCAACTTAAGCTATAGATCCTACCGTACACAAAATATAACTAAAATAGGTAGACAACGTGTGCAAGTCACGACTCACTTGATCTTGTTAAACCGAAACGGCGTTGAAACTCTAAAACCCGTGCTCAATCTACTGTATGTCGTCATGCTAGAACATACGTACTGAAGGATATGTGTATAATACAAAGTGGGTGTCCGAGAGAAGTCCAGAAGGAGAAGCCTTTCATGTAGATCTTTAAAGGTTTCTAATTAGACTATCTATGCCCGACCGAATATAATCGCTTATTGCAACACTTAACCTACCCATTTATATGACGCAGTGTAAGACAACGGCTTGTAGTTCAATTATCACTGTGTGTGTGTATTAGAGGTTCAAAACACGATCACAGGCACGGGTTAATGTTTGAACAGTAATAAGCAGCGCAATAGATAGACACAAAAATAACATATGTTTGTTTTTGCAAAACACGTTTACCAAAAAAAGTAAAGAAATAATGTGTCGCATACTAGAGTGATAATCGTTTCATTCGTTCATGTTCTTAAGCATAGATATAAGAACAATTGTAGATATGAAATGGTAACAAAAATGACAATGTTTTGTTTTACTTAGTGTCTACAATCAACGACAGAAATAATGTGTCGCATACTAGAGTGATAAACGTTTCATTCGTTCATGTTCTTAAGCATAGATATAAGAACAA